ATGAATGCATCTATATTTAACAATAATAATATTAATTAGAAATAGAATGGAGCTGTTATCATATTAAGTGTGCAGTTGAGGTAAAAGGACCAGGATGCATGCGGTGTTGCCATTAAAAATTCAATGACAACTCAACGTCAATCGCTACTATCCACAACGGCAATAACCACATAGTTGCACGTTACCGCTGTATGACCCCTCGACTTGGAGCCATAAATAAAATCAATGACGTAAATTGGAATGCTCGTTTGCAGGCTGCTCGCCAACTGACAAAAAAACAAGCACACACTCACAAATGTAGGTACGAGGTTGATCCAATAATTATTTGGCCAACAATAGAATAACGAAAAAGTGGAATAATTACGATTAATTTCTTAACTTTTGTCTCCTTTAAACTTGACACACTTGACTCAGCGATTCCAATACTTCTTTCATTCATGAAATATACGTCTACTGGGATTTTACGATTTAGGCTTCAATGTGCTCGTTAAACTAGTTGAAGTTCAATATTTCGGTGTAGTAAAGACGTGTGACTATTCTGCCTTGTTTCTCGTAATCGAAGTAGATCATACCTTGCGGATCGCAGAAAAAATTGGAATTTACATATCCAGCTTATAACACAACATTCTCCATCTTCGGAGTAGATTAGTCGACTGCGTGTTCCAAAAAAAGGTAGAATTAGTCAACTGCAGGGTTTAGCAAGTACATCATCCAAACGTTCTTTGATGCAAACGTTCGCGATTTCTCTTCGAAAATGTGATCGAATTCCCAACAGATATTGATATTTCTTTAATTTTACTGATATTCAAACCTGATCTACGAGTCTGGTTCGGCTGAAATTATGGTAGTTAATCAGGTGATCCAAAAATTAGGGGTAATATGATAGATAGAAGGTACTATAGGAATATAATTGGATCTCTGATCTCAGTCTGTAGAGGCTGACAGATCGGGCAGACTGCGAGGAATGTCAAGACTAAGCAAACAATCTTGTGCAATCGTTCCGCATTGGCAAGGCTACGCTTTAGGTATTTGGAAGTCCCACGGTATGAGGCATTGGAATAGGTGAGCTTAGAGTGGCCAAAGAGTCTGTTCAAAGCTCAAGCACCCTAATGGAAGACTACTCTTACTCTACTCTACTACTCGCTTGGACTTCATAACAGAACTCCAACTGATATCGTGCCAAACATGGTCCTACACTACATAATCAGGTGAAGGCTAAAGAGCTATCGAAACGCCCTCGTATCTAGTGCAAACATGTAATACGTTTTGCAGAGACATTAGCGAGCGCAGTGTGGAGGTGATTTGATGCTGCCGCCCCTTAAGTACTTTATGGAAATTAAATTCAGGTGCTGCTTCATGCTAGCTACAGACGCAAATCTGTTGAAATACCGCCAATTCGGCGGACAGAAAAAAACCGATGAGCTGACGCTGCAAGCGCTGTGGGTACTCCACCGAGATTTGTCTTGTTAAGGATATCTTAGCACTACTCTTTGCTCCATTAAAAATCAATTGTGAAATATGTAGCACGAGGCAAGCGACGAGTGGACAGCGGGACGAAGAAACGCAAGGACGCACGGTAAAGATGTGTTGGTTAGCAAATGTTGAATTTAGCTCAGACGGTAACGCGCACGAAAGATGGTAGATAGATGGCCGAAGATAGAAGACTAAAGGGTCGAGAATTGCTCTCATTTAAATTGGCTCGGCGAACGCTGAGGCACGTATGACCGCGTCGCATGCAACAATTGCAATGATACTAAATTAAAGCGCTTGTACGAATGTGTGTTACTGTGTGTGTGTCTGAATATATACTTAGAAATGTAACTTTATGCTGCTGAGCGTGAATGAATTTCTAGTCGCTTGTAGTTTGAATTTCAATTTGATTCCATTTGGCGACATTAGCGCTGGCATTTGAATTTATTTTCGTTGTTAAATTCGAATTGGACTTTGAATATGAATTTGAATTTGAATTTAAATTTGCATTTGAATTTGAATTTATATTTCCCGTTGCATATGCAACATTGCCATTTCTGCTTTGCATTTGCAGCTGTTTTTCCCTTTTCGGACTGCATTGTTGTTTCATTTGTTGTACGCAATCAAAGTAAACTTTTGAAGTTTGGTGAATTGAAATTATTTGAGTTGAGTGTTGCATCATCCTTGCCAGAGTAAGCACTTTAACTTTTAGGCTACCATCGAGCTATAAAACTTTCAAGTGAATGCTTTCCACTGCTTTATCGATTGGAATTGTCGATTCGTTCTGATTTGCGTGATTCATAAAGTCCAAACGCCGAATCGCACGGCCGAGGCGACCGATTGTCTGGCCCATTTCACGGTTGTTTGTAAGTCCTTAAACTAAAAGAGTCAGATATAGGGTTATATATACCAAAGTGATCAGGGTGACGAGTAGAGGTTGGATGTCCGAATGTCTGTCTGTCCGTTCGTCCGTCTGTCCGTGCAAGCTGTAACTTGAGTAAAAATTGAGATGTCATGATGATGACTTGGTACACGTATTTCTTGGCTCCATAAGAAGGTTAAGTTCGAAGATGGGCAAAATTGGCCCACTGCCACGTCTACAAAATGGCGGAAACCGAAAACCTATAAAGTGTCATAACTAAGCCATAAATAAAGATATTAAAATGAAATTTGGCACAAAGGATCGCATTAGAGAGGGGCATATTYGGACGWAATTTTTTTGGAAAAGTGSGCGTGGYCCSGCCCCYTACTAACTTTTTTGTACATATCTCGAAAACTACTATAGCTATGTCAACCAAACTGTATAGAGTCGTTTCCTTCAGGCATTTCCATATACAGTTCAAAAACTGTCTCTTATACACATCTAGATGTGTATAAGAGAACACCCTGATGACATGTACCAAATATGGGTGAAATCGGTTCACAACCACGCCTGAAATCTCGATTATCACTTTATCATGCGAGAGTATAAAATGTTCAGTGACACCCGAACTTAGGCCTTCCTTAGTTGTTTTGAGATGCAATGGTGACTCAAGGAGTAGATATGGATTGCTGCCTGACCAATAACGCATATTTTGCTTATTGAAGCAGACATTTAGTCCCATGTGATTTAGTGATGAGCCTCATCACTGAAGCCAGACCCATTCGCGAACATACGACCTTTCTGGTGGTTAAGCGGCTTTAGTTCATGCGCCAATTTGATCATGTTAGGATTTAGGCCAAGATCATTTCGCAAAATTCGCCACAACGCCGTCACAGAGATGCCCAACGCTTGAGATCGACGTGTGAGAAACTGATTTGGACCTTTTTCAATTGATGCGCTAGCGGCAGCAATATTTTTGACACTACGGGCACTTCTTTGTCTCACTGGCTATGGAACACTTTGTACCGTGCCGGCGGACTCAAATTTTTCCACCACACACTCAATTGTTGATCTGAAAGGTTGATTATAGCTACCATAGATTGGACGTAGCGCTCTTAAAATTGAGGCCACTAACTCCGAATCTCGGTAGTAAATTTTAATAATTTCGACTCGCTGTTGCATAGCATATCTTTCCATAATTGAAATGGCAAACTTTACTTTGGAGAAATGTAAAAAGAGCAGAAAAAGATATGCCGTCGTTTGCTGTCCCTATCGGTCTACTTTTGTAGCATCCCTATCGAAAACTTTGCTATATATTTACATATGTAAAAGAGAAGTGCTTAGCTGTTAGTATTTTATCAACAATATGGAAAAAGTAACGTTTGGTGTTGTTACAGAAGCCAAACAAAACAGTTGGAGATCCCAGAGCGTATCGACCACTGTGCATGATACGATCGTTACAGAATCCCAAAACTCAGACATATTTATTGGGGATTATAAAACACTATCTGTCCGATAGGTTGCTTTTTTACGATACTGGCGAAGGCATCAAACGATATGCTGTCACACATGGGGTACCAAAATGGTCCATCTTGAACCCTCAACGGAAAATACGTTGAAATAATCGGATACGCTGACGATATTGCTGTATCAATAGTAGCCAAAAAAATTCCATCAAATTCAAAGCGCATGTGTATATACATACATTGAAGAAAATTAAAAACTGGCTAACTTAACTTAACATCTTATATGGAACACTTTCACATTTGACAATATATCTTCACGAAATTTGGTATGAGTTAATGTTTATAGAAGTAATGTAATATCAGAAGAAATCATTCAGATCGGCTTACTTTAGCATATAGCTTCCATACAAACTGAACACATAGTTACTCAAATAAATGCACCTGTGAAGGAAATTTAGCTTCGGTGCAACCGAAGTGTAGCAAACGAAGCTGAACAATTTTCGCTAAGAGTACACAGTTACATGAAGAACTCTCCATGTCTAATTTTATAAATATACGGAAAAAAGCTTCAAGAAAATGTCAGCAAGATTGACCCTCCGACTTAGGTTTGGTGTCCATCGAAGTATCTTTGCATCTATCACATCAAGAACAAGCGAAGTGATCAACTATTCTTGAAGATGTTGGTTTGATTAGATGGCTAATACCTCAAGATGGCGGGGATCATACTTAAAAAATTTTGTATAGTCCTTTATAAAGTCAGACGAAAAAATTCTGTAGTTGGCTATCAGCTATGAATAAAATACCCTGAACCTATCACAAACTAATTAGATGTTCACTCTTGCAGCATGAATCCCAATACGACAGTGTGCAGTTAGAACTGTTACAATCATTTATATATGTACCCTGCAGAAAGCCTTGAATTCATTAGACCTCTTGCGTTTTATACTGGAACAAAAAGACCTTCCAACTGAATGGCTGCTGGTGGTATATCAACGCTTGCTGAGCTGTGCGGAGGCTTAAGAAACCGGTAGTGAACCACAAGTATATCATGTTAATTAACAATTAACGAATTGTTAACACATATTTCACCGAAATCAAAGAAGTAAGTACAGAAGCAAAGTGATGCAGCTACAAGAGCGCTGTAGCTTAAATTATCCCGTATTCGTTTGTTATCTTTTTGTTTTCTATCCTAGCTTACTCACCTATAACATTCAACCGGAAAGCCATGGAGATCTTCGGTTCCGTATTTACTTGACATTCATAGATGCCGCTGTCACGTGGCTGCGCGTACTTCACCTGCAGCGTCCAATCCTTGAAATCAGCGGTGCGTACAACCTGTGAATACAAAAGCAGGCAAGTTGAGGCAATCGAGCGCACATTTGCGGAAAGCTAATAACGTTGATTGTGTGTGTGCGTAATATTATATATACTTGTGTGTACGCGCGGGTGTGTTACTATATACTTATAATCACGTAAGCCAAACAACAACAAAAGCAGCGCGCATTTCCGGACGTGCGTTCGACAAACGCAGCGCAATCAGAAGTTCAGCAGTGACACGGACAGCGAGTCGAAATTAGTTGCCAATATGTTAATTGGAGCCGAAGGGCGTGATATGCGCACGCGTTAGTTCGAATCAAAAATTAACTTCGTTGAAAAGTTTGCCATTTTAGTGTTTTGTTTTGGCATGTGAGTGGTACAGATCACGCTGCGAGGTTGCTATTTTTATGCTCCCTGAATAAACACGTTTCTACATACATAGATGTATGTATGTATATATGTACGTCTGTCTTGTAATCAAATATTCGCCAAAATCACTAGAAATAGATTTATATTCATTGCTTGTTTGCAAAGTGTAAGTAAACCAAACTCTACACTTTTCGCACAATTCTTAAATGCAATTAGAAAGCATTTGCAATTTTCGCATTACGCGAGTTTTTGCTGTGAAAGTTCGAAAGTAAACGCATTAGTTTCAACACGGAGTTGATTTGTGCGCGCAAATAATGAAATTCACTCAATTTTCATTATTCAATAAATTCATTTGCTATTATGCTAATTGCACTCAGCTGCGTTTTCAGCGTTTTTGCGGCGGAATATTAAAATTGATTATATTATGTTGTTAAATATCTCCCTTCCGCCGCAACAGAGCTCGTATCTGGCAATACTATAGATCTTTGAAAGTTCTTGACATTACCTACAAAACGACGTTATGCATGATTAGTTTGTATATTATGTTCAACAGTTA